CAAACAAGTGTTCGTGATCGCGACAGTCTCGGGTCGGCGTTAAGTACAATAAATCATGTTTGTAACGAACACGTTTATACGAGCGGACGGATATTACGAACTATCTTTTTGGCCGTTGTATTTTTTTTCGATGTATATACGACTGACTGACTGACTGACTGACTGAGTTTGGTTTTACGCCGCTTTTAGCAATATTCCAGCAACATCACGGCGGGGGACACCAGAAATGGGCATCACACATTGTACCCGTGTGGGGATTCGAACCCGGGTCTTCGGCGTGACGAGCCAACGCTTTAACCATTAGGCTACCCCACCGCCCCGATGTATATAAGAAACTATGGTTATGACAAAATCAAATTAGTGATTTATTTGAGTTCGCCTTAACCTTGTGTATCTATATCATTAGACTTGCACTAAGGCTCTAAGGTAATCATTTATAGTTTTAATGATGATATATACTGACTGGCATTCTTGTAAAGCATAGAAATACTATACATCCCAGTAACGTGATCGGGTGGTCAGACTCGCTGATTTGGTTGACACATGTCATTGGTTCCCAATTGCGGTAGATCGATGCTCATGCTGTTGATCACTGGATTGTCTGGTCCAGACTCGATTATTTACAGACCGCCGTCATATAGCTGGAATATTGCGGCGTAAAACTAAACTCACTCACTATACAGTATACATCCATGGGCTTAGCATTCTGTAAGCCTTTGGCCAAGGTTACTATCTCATGCATGTGTCTGTGCTAAACGACTGCACCCTCTACCCTGTAGTATGCCAAATTACCTGGATCAATGCTGATCAATGCCAACCTGTATGGAATCCGAGAAGGGATATTGTCGCTCTGTCGCATTGTCGCCCTCTCAAAAACAAGCAAAATGAGGCAAAATTAACCAAAGCACGACAATGCGACAACGCGACATTTCAGCCATTTGTCGCATTGTCGCATGCCGCGTTTTGAATAATATTTTTCTATTCCTCCAAAGGGCGACAATGCGACATAGAGACAATTTTCACGGTCAAAATATGTTGCGTTGTCGCATTGTCGCACTAATTTTACTGGACTATCTAAGATGTGTGAAAAAACCAAAAATGCGCGACAACGCGACAATGTCTCTTCCAGGATTCCATAAACCTGAGTATCAGCGAAGGTGGTGGAGTGCGCCTCCCGTCAACACGGTAACAATAACAAAACGCCGTGCTAGATGGAAGTCCTTGGGTGTTATACTCCACTGGCTCTCTGTATCTCTGAATTTAACAAATCAATTGAAATATCATTAGCACACAAATCTGAAAGTCTAGTTGTGAAAGTGTTCGCACGTCTCTTGGGAACTCTGGAATATTGCTAAAAAGCGACGTAAACAAACTCACTCACTCACTCAACGAAACTTCCATCGTGATTACTCGTGTCATTCCGAGACAAACGAAATTGTTGATGCAGAAAAAATGTTCACTTCAATTAGTTTATAATTTCATGCACTAAAGATATTTGTTGTCAAAAGGTTATATTTTTATGTTGCAAAGTACAAAGTTCTAAAATAGTGTAGTAATTTTCATTGTAAAATTTAGTTCAGATGAGGTTCAGAAAGTCTAGCTTGGCTATAACTGTTATTAGTTTTCCAAAAAGTATTATCATGATTGTCATAACAGATTACTTCCCCTTATTGTGAGTGTTGCTCCTCATCAGAGCACATGGCTTGTCACTGCCTCCATGTTGGAGACATTCAGCTGTTTTAGTTGGCATGAACACAAATGTGAGTAGCATTGTTTGCTATTGTAATATATTTAAAGGCATAATAAGGTAATATTATTTGAAGGTTTTGTTAATTGTACATTTTATTTCATTTATCTTGTAACTGTTAATTTGAAGTAATTTACTTAGACTTGTCATGTAGTTTGACTGTTAGGAATAATTTACTTAGTAAGTCTGTATTTCTGCTTTGTAGTTTTCTGAACCTCACCAAGCCAAAGAAAGAAGTCAAAGTGAAATTGAACGTATACCAGAATAAATTATTGGTACGAGTAAAATTTTTGTGTCTTGCATCCACATAAATGGCGACTCGTATCGCTCCCGTGGCAGCTTCGATTATCCAGTCTTATATATCCATCGCTTTAAGTTCCTTGGTGGATGACGTAACTTTGGGAACCACGTCACCACCTCGATTGCACCTGTTTCGTAATGAGATTCGACTGCAGTTACATAGTTTTAATGACTTATCTTTCGACCAGGGGTACATCAAAACATGTAGCGAATGCTTCAATATTTGTGAGTTTCATCAAAATTGCCTCTGTTCGCCCAACAAACTACGAAGATTTGAAAGAACGTCCCGGAGGTTACAGGCTTTTCTTATGGCAGACCTATATATGTTCCCGAGTTTGATAGACGAACACTTGATTTGTCTTTGCGTGTGTTTGCTACCTATTCGCAAACACCTCGCATCATAACCATGACGATATAGGCGCAGTTGTGCAGCGAAGTGTCTTTGATAAACATAGAAATGGCATTCGCTGTTATTGTCCATAAAGGTATGTTCAGCTTTACCACTGGCAGTACCCAAAGACTTGGTACATTGTCCCTGTGTTCAGACACTTCAGAACATGGAGATAAATCAAATACGTGCCAACGAGGAAGCAGTCAACAAGCCGACGTGATCAAACGATACTTTGTATTAATGTGACGGAAGTGATAGATGAGAACTCCATTTAGATAAGCGACGTCATCACGATCAACGGACTTCTTGCTCCGTGTCACCTCAGACTGTGCTACTTCAGTTCATCAGATAAATATACTACTGGAATAAAGTAACTGTACATTATTGGATGTTATGCCAATTTTTTAATTAAAAAAGATAACAACATGCATTGTGGTGTTTTCCTTAATCACGGTTTAACTGTCAGTTCTCAAATTCAGTATCGTGTGTGTCCACCATTGACGCCGATGAAGGTTTGACAACGACGACGCATAGACGACACTATAGTCTGTTTGCAGTGAAAACGTACTGGTGAATTTTACTTTAAACAAGAAAGTAAATCGAAAAAAGTGAAAATAAGATTGCGAATCCTCATAATTTAACCTTGCCAACTGAACATTTAAATACCAGAATTTTATTAAACTTAGGATAAAAGTTGTTTAAAAAACGATCATAGTGTCAAATCGTTATTATTGGTTTGTATTACAAGGGTGTATGCACATTAAATGAAACACCGAGATCAAGTAGGGCTGGTCTAAGTTAACGCTCATCACGTACCGCACGTACATTTGTTTCAGTGTTTCAACTTCTGCGCTTACCCCCTTGTAATACAAACCGATAATAGCGATTTGAATCTTTGATCGTTTGTTAAACAACGTTTATCCTAAGATGAATAAAATTCTGAGATTCAAATGTTCAATTGGCAAGGCAAAATTATGAGGGTTCGCGATCTTAATTTCACATTAGTTGCTTTACTTTTTTGTTTAAAGTGAAATTCATCGGTACGTTTTCACTGCAAACAGACTATAAGCGATAGAAGAAAGCTTGCTGACTGCTGTTCCATGTCTGAACCAACGATTGTTCCAATTCAGCTAACATCAATGGCTAACGTCAATGCTTAAGCTTAAAATTCAACTGTTTGTAACCATCTGGGTCCCGTTCCTCAAAGAGATCGTAGCGCTAGTACAGTCTAAGACTAAGTTTGGAAACTACAATGACATCAGCGCTAAGATCATTTTCCAGAACAGGAACGCTACTTCGAGGTTTCATTTCCAGATTAATCGATTATCCAGTGATAACCTAATGATAGGGGTTGTTCCTCATCCTTATGACGTATATCGTAAATCCACATCATCAGGGATGGAATATATCAATTGCCATTATCTGTTTAGGAATCTTGATATCTGAATGGCGAGTAGTCGTCTTGTTCCACCCGGTCTGCAAAAATTCGGGCATTGGCAGCCACTGTGTGACGCTTTCCACATCTTTCACTGTCCATTCACGATTGCATATGTTTTTCATCGGTCTCATTTTTACGATTCTACACGTGTAAATAAATATCTCTGATATTGTACAAATATCCTAAAACGTGAAACAATAGTTCCGTCTTCCATGTCCATCTCCCGGTTTTCCATTTCCATCCTCTTTGTGTATTAAGCTAAGGTTGTACGGCTCTATGTGCTCTCGTCGAAGGCCTAGGGGAAACTAGCGATATGGTCACAGGCATAAATATGTAATGTCAGGCACCTCCCTGCTGTTATATTATTATACAAACATAATAAAACCGCACCGGAAGGTTACTCTCATTACAGAATAAGCCCTTTTATTCACAAACAAGAGAAAGGTTGTGTCACATAATATACAAAAGAGGCAGTGATGTTATCCTACGTCATCAGTGCGCCGGAGTGTGGTAAAAACGTCTACAGGTCGAACATTTTGATGTGACATCGCTTGCTTATCAACTCACAACTTTACTATACCCAGAGTCCAATTGCCAAATTTACTTTTTAAAAGGCCATTTTACAATTCCGACAATATCATTAGCACAATTCACAAAACACTACTGGTGAGGAAACAGATGTTTGAGAAAAAGTAATTGAATCCTGCCCCACCGGAGGCATCCGTCAAAAACACATGCATAGACAAGTCAAGCATTTACTTCAAAATAACACCGTAACATGTGGAACAAGTCAAAACAGGAAATTGCAGGACATCGTGATGGCCACTGATGCGTTAGATATGTAAACGTCCCCCACAACCACAATGTACTTTAAAACACTGACAGAACATACGCCTACTTGCTGGCATTGAACTCCGTCATCAGTTGTACATCCTGAACTCCTGGATTCCCTGGAGGGCACGTATAGGAAGCTGCTCGTAGAGTCCTGTGTGTGGTGCTTGCAATATGGCGATTAGCGAGGACCCAACAGTACTCAAATAATTAATTGAAATATGAGAACTGAGCGTTGAGAGACATAGATTCGTGTAAGTAGATGTGGCAGCCTGCCTCATTGGTCCGACAGGTAGACATAGTTTAAGGTGGATATTAGTTCGAATGAGTGAGTGATTTTTACGACACAGATGCGATATAACAGATAGGACAGAGATTAAAGTAATCGAATCTTGATCATACGAACCGGTTTTCGATCTGCACATTTTCCAGTTGAGTGACTACACTAAACCAGGCATAACACTGACAAACACCCCATCCTATATGTTTACAAGCTATGAAGTACTGGGGACCTAGTGTATACCGGAAGGCAACAAAGTCACCGAAGATTCGTCATCGACGGACGAATTAATCCCGGAGAATACCGAGTCGACACGAAGGTGTGTTGCACATGCATTGAGATGTAGTGGCATACATAGGAATGGTTCCACCTGGAACGGACGTGCATCTCGTGGAGATTCGTGACTACCTAGCTGCAAGACGTGCGTATACACAGTTCCACGCCGTGCTGTCACTTATCGACCGAGGCCTCGGATCTAGATCTGAGTTTCTTTAGTGTGAGCAGACGACACGATACAAGGCAGACGGCAGCATGTGGAAGCTGCAGCTCTCATCAGAGACAGGTAGGTATGCTTTTTAAACAGCTTTGTGTTTCATAATCTGATTGACTCGAAGAAATTGATAGGTGTACAGTTTTTGCTCGAGCTGCAATGATGTGTGGTAAAACCATGATCAGGTTTGATGGTCAGTTGCCCAGGCCAGGACATTGCTGATGAACATTGTTGGATTAGGCATCGTGCAGAGTCTGCAGAAGGTGTACCCAAGTTAGTCAGGTGTTTTAATGGAATAAAGAAAATTCGGGTTCGAATTTTAAACGGAGACAGCATTGTAACCTGCATTGTGTTCTTGTATTACAGCAAATGGCGTATAATATGTGTATTGATGAAACAACGCTGGTGGGGCTGGGCATTGGAGTACTGGGGAGATTTTATCGAAAAAATAATTGTCTCAGATATTTTTTAACAAACAAAATTATACTTCAGAGGAAAAATAACTTTTCTGCTACCCATAGAAATACAATACAGGCACTTTTGTTGTAAAAACAGAATATTTAGGTTCATAGTTTTAATTAGAATAAAATACTGGTTTTGCACCTGTATGGTACTGTTGTAGGACTCTGTACAAAATCCGAGTACTACCATCCCAATATCGATTTTTTTGTTTTAGGAAACTAAAACCGTGTTCATGTTAATCTAGCACTGACCAAACATGTTACATATAAGTTGGATATATATTGCTAATGCAAATTATCTTACAGGTCTATAAAATGATTATTACCCTCAGTAACAATGTAAACAGAGACATATAGAGACATAACTGACCAATAGCCATTAGGATCCTTTGCTCATCATCTAAGACTATGGTACTATGACAGTATTTTTTTATTATCGGATACGAGAAAGTCGATCAGAAGAGTATCTGATTGAAATTTACGGCTTACTTCAGAACGGGTAAAACATACAACTACGATCGACACCACCACTTCAACATCAGTACAGTCGGGCACACCGAGGCCAATGTCGGTACGATCTTCTCTCTGTATGTACATGTCACCACTTAGACCTCAACACACAAGGGCAAACCGTGCCCTACATCAGAACGATCTCCTGGATTTCTGTGGACGTCGTACCAGGCTAAGTAGAAGCAGCAGGGACGTCTTTTAAAGACAATTAGAGCGCAAATACTCCAGCATAATGTCGATCAACATCAAACGCTTTCACTGTCCACAAACTTAAGGGTGGCGGAGTGTTTGTATACTTTAAGTGCTTGTGCTTATCCTTATCAAGGTTAATGGTGCTGAGCTATATTGGTATATATCACATAAATGGTACATGTATATATTTAGAATATTATTATTACATTATTACATATTATTACACTTTTGCTGCGAGCTATTAACCCAGTTTGTCACCTTATGGCATTCTCGAATGCGACCACTAAACCTCGATACTACTCAAAGTTTGCTAAGGATAACCATGTTAAAAGATATGATGTAGATGACATGTCCATGAACAAACAACCGTTGTTTTGTGCAACACCATGTAAACGAAGAACATGTCACCATGTCAGATCATATGAAGGTATCTGTCCAAACTGAAACGCCAAAACGTTGGAAACAATTTCATTGTTGACAAAAATACAACTCTCAGTAGTCGCAAGACGGTCAAGGTCGATAGGACGGGCTATATTTTGTACAATGGTAGTCGTCTCATGCTCCCCAAAAGTGTCTGGGTTGTTTCACTTTCCAGTAAATCCATTCTATTTGCCGGAAGGTAAGAGCGTCCCAAGAGCGCGATCTGCAACTGAATCCACATGTACCTGCCGTCCGTGACCGGAGACCAGCCTTAGGAGACGTCTACGCAGCGTCGGAGTTGAAACTTTAAAGCTGCTGTCCTTCCAGGGTCATTGTGTGGACGAACGCTGTCGTCCACTTGCATGTCGCTGGGTAGTGATCCAAACGCATGATATCGAGTCCTGCTCATCAACACCAAAGACGTTTGCAACGTAACAGTTTCAAGCATGCCTCAGCATATGCCGAATTCTTAAATGACGTCTTGGACGCTGAGAGGGCACACGTGCATTCCGCTGTTGCAGTCTCCGGTTGCATATGATCTTGTGCAACGATTCTGTCGCGATAAATCGAAACGGAGGATTTCAGGCAACGTTTTCGTGACCGCATGGCTCCGTCCGTTCTTCATGAAACTGAGGTCCAACAGGAGTTACACAATCGTTGTTCACTCTTTATCTATAGGATGAATATAGCAGGGTCAACGTGGGCATAGATCACCAACACTCTGCTGGGGTGTGAGGTTGTTTATTTGGTAGGATGAGAGATTGATGAACGATAAACGACACCCTGTAATAATAAATATAATAATATAATATACATCACACATAATTCATACAAGATACATATACTTCCATACACTGGTTACATATGGATAATTACCAAAGCATGAATACGATTATTTATTACACATATGGAATATTAGAATTATGATATTACATCAGTACACATAACGTAATGATAACACATACATACATTGCAATACACACAAGATAGATAATAATATACCATTACGCATTAGTCGTAATGATAATGTACACGATTCGTCACCACGCATTACGTGATGGTACTATATACAAATACATGGATATAAAAAGACATATACACATACCCTGTGGGTGGTACAAGGGTGTAAACCAATCGGGCACAGCACCAGTCTTATGGACGGGGACTTATCTGCTGTAAATAATATTAAATGATAAATAATATACAATGTAATGTGGAGTAGAAACATAAAATTACTTCCACATATTGATAATTACACTTATAGTAATCATAGTTAAAACATAGCAACTTATATTAAAACACATTCTCTCATCTCACACATTCAGCGAAAGGGATAGTAAAGATAAGAATATATTAGTGATACTTATTTATGTTTATAGCTTAGGATTGGAAAGCTAGCATAAATACATATAGCACACTTACATGCTATATAATACCTATTTAAATGATAGTAAATAGATATGCGTTTATTATAAAGATACTGCAAGGATTAAATGCAATATTACTTTAATTATATAAATACTAACCTTAATGTTACACTGTGCGTCTGTCCAAGCTGTCTTTATGTGGCAAAGAGTCAGTGCAGAATGAGTGAAATTGTGCATGGAGTTAGTGAGACCAATCAGCCGAGAAGCCTTATGGCTTTGGCAATTAGTGAGAGAGGCCAAGCTCTAAAGCTTTAACCCTTAAAGTGCCTAATGATAGCATAGCTAAAAGGAGAGAATAATAAGAAGATTGAAATAATATATTTACACTAAAATACACCTGCCACATGAATTTCCTATGTCATCTAACATGATTCTTACCAACGTTTGAGTGGTATATTGGTAAACTGTGCTTCACCTGTATGATTTGTAATAAGTATATGTTTCTTGGGCAGGTCGTCACGACTGACTGAGTTTGGTTTTACGCCGCTTTTAGCAATATTCCACGCAGGTCGTCACGTGTAGGTGTAAATAGATGTGCACATTAATAATGATGACCTGTCATATCCTTTACGTTTAGCTACTAATGAATCTTGTTATCGTCCAGAGAATGCCATATTGATCAATGGAGGTTTAAGGTCAGTACACGACTAGCGTGACTTATAGGATGGACGCTCTCACAAATAAGAAATGGTCATATTAGTGGACTGGTAGTGGACAGGTAGTCGTATATACTAATGGAATAAAGTAACTGTGCATTATTTGATGTTATGCCATTTTTAATGCAAAAAGATATTAACGTGATTTGCGGTGTTTTCCCTAATCACTGTTTAACTGTTGACAGGATAAGATCAAAATCTGTATGATTTGATACTAGGCATCGTGACACACCCTTGAAGGACGTGGTGTCAAAAGTCAGTTCACAAATTCAGCATCGTGTGTGTCCACCAGTGGCGTTGATGTAGGCTTGACCACGGCGACAAATAGACGACACTAAGCGATTGAAGAAAGCTCGGGGAATGTTGATCCATGTGTAAACCAACGCTTGTCCCAAGTCAGCTAACGTCTTGTCTGATTCTGGGCTTGACGTTAACGTCCCTCCATTTCATCCCAAGCGTGCTCGATAGGGGACAGGTCCAAGGGAGTACCGGAATGTTCTGCTGTGTCAGGAAATCTGTCACAACACGAGCGACATGTGGACGGGCAGTATATTGCTGGAGCGTGAAGAGTTACGTCTCTGTCCTTGAATGAACGGCTGCACATGAGGCCCAATCATCTCGTCCCTGTATCGCAGACCTGGTTGATGACAATGACATATTGTGTCCGACCTTGAGATGTTAACAAGCCAAAGTAAATTGGGTATAATGACTCAAGAATTAGATCTATTACAGAAAAGTTTTACAAATATCCATCTTTACATAAATTTAATATGCTTATGTCATCCACAAATATTGAAGTTATTAGAAACACTTCTATGTATATTTACTATGCAAATGTAAAACGCTCCGCAGCCTCCTGATTGTACATCTGTAGGTATCTGTTATACATCCCCCAAGGGAAAGCTTGTAACTATTGGCGTAATCATGGGCCTATGGCCTACATTACCGTACAGAAAAATACAGACTAGATTCGATTACTTACGGACGATTGTATTGCTGAATGGAGCGTTAACGAACGACACTACCGAAGAACGAACCACGAACAAACCAACTAAAACCGAAAGTGAATATGAAAATGAACATGTTTAACAGTAAACGTGCGATGCCACATAAGTGATTCACAAAATAAGACTTTAACTGCCACCATTTTGATGAAGGTTAATTAGAAAAAGCTCAGGCCTCAATCATTCGTTACATCCGATTACACCTTATATACGAGTAGTGGAAACCAGCTGCAAGAATCCTAACAGGTACTGCGATTTCTAACATAAAGATATGTTTGCCTGCATCGAATACGATTTTTGACCAGCCCAAGAGACAAAATGAGACAACCATCTGTGTCAATGATAATTAACCTTGCTAGAATCGAAATTAGACATAACACGAAGTATCGACTAGAACAGCCC